AGTGTTAGCAGCATTAGTAGCATTAGCAGAGTTAGTAGCATTAGCAATGTTAGAAGTGTTAGTAGCATTAGTAGCGTTAGAAGTGTTAGCAGCATTAGTAGCGTTAGCAGCATTAGCAATGTTAGAAGTGTTAGCAGCATTAGTAGCATTAGCAGAGTTAGCAGCATTAGCAATGTTAGAAGTGTTAGTAGCATTAGTAGTGTTAGCAGTGTTTGCAGCGTTAGCAGTGTCAGCAGCGTTAGCAATGTTAGAAGTGTTAGTAGCGTTAGTAGCATTAGCAATGTTAAAAGTGTTAGCAGCATTAGCAGCATTAGCAATGTTAGAAGTGTTAGCAGCATTAGTAGCGTTAACAGCGTTAGAAGTGTTAGTAGCATTAGTAGCGTTAGCAGTGTTTGCAGCATTAGCAGTGTTAGCAGCGTTAGCAGCGTTAGCAAAGTTAGAAGTGTTAGCAGCATTAGTAGCATTAGCAAAGTTAGCAGCATTAGCAATGTTAGAAGTATTAACAGCATTAGCAATGTTAGAAGTGTTAGCAACATTAGTAGCGTTAGTAGCATTAGTAGCGTTAGCAGTGTTTGCAGMGTTAGCAGTGTTTGCAGCGTTAGCAGAATTAGCAATGTTAGAAGTGTTAGCAGCATTAGTAGCCTTAGCAGTATTAGCAGCATTAGTAGCATTAGCAGTGTTAGCAGCATTAGTAGCATTAGCAAAGTTAGCAGTATTAGCAGCGTTGGGAGTGTTAGAAGTGTTAGCAGTGTTAGCAGCATTAGCAGTGTTAGCAGAGTCAGCCGTGTTAGAAGTGTTAGCATTGTTACCATTGTTAGTACCGGCTAGCGAAGGCTAGCAGCGACCATTGTTGTTTGTCATCCTGGTTATCTGATGCTAACTCTGCTAACACTGCTGAAGATAATATTTAAAATAAAGAACATTAGTGGAAAAGACTCTAAACTTTAGTTAAATAGTGATATTTTTAATTTTACGGTCTGCGCCCCAGAGGTCAGGTCTTCAGCTCACTCGAGTCAGCGCCTCCATCTCCTCGTCCACCTTCTGAGCGCAGCTGTCCAACACGTCCCTCCAGCGGGACACGTCCCAGACCCGCTCGCCCAGCTTACGGGTCGTGTCGCTCTCATCCCACGTCGTCTGCACACAGGTGTTTCAACATTTCTATTTGTTTTAAGAAACCAAATGATGTTAGAAAACTGGGAGGTGATGGTTCCCAACAGGAACAGGAAGTCACCTGGCAGCTGGTCTCGTGGCGGAGCGACCTGGCTTCCTGTCGGGTCACRGAGGACACGTGTCGCTCGTGCTGAGCGGCGGCGGACAGCTGCTGGTTGTTGTTGCTCCACTCGGAGACGCTGAGGCGAAGGCCGGGCTTCACGGGGAGAGAGGACATCCTGCTGCGAGAAAACAAACAAACAAACACACAAACAAACACAAACAAACACACAAACAAACAAACACACCAACAAAACAAATCCTGGAGTCAGAACCTGTCAGGTGATTTCGTAACAACACAGACAGGTGTTATTTTTACATCGTGGTCAAATTCAAATTATTAAAAAAAGGCAAAAGTAAATATTATTTATAGTTTAAATGAAAAAACACTAAATAATAACAGAGCTGTTAGAAAACTGGTTGGACTCAGTGTGGTTGTAACTGATGGAGCAAAATCTAAAAATAAAACCTTTATATTGTTTATAAAGTCTGATCTCCTGATGCTGTTTAAAACATCAATAATAAAAATAAATCAACATTAAAAACTATGAACAGAAATAAGTATTAACATTTTATATTATTTACTAC